TAATATGTATATTGTATATAAATTTGTAATCAATCAAATAATGGTAGTAACAGTGCTTGAATATTAAGTGAAAATTTACATACGAAATACACATAAATACATAGCTAAATTCGCATTTCATAAGAAAAAATATATTTTGATGTTGACAACCACATAATGTGAATTCTCGACCATAAATATTTTCTTAATCAAACGATCAACCAAATATTCAGTGTTTGGAATATAATGAAAACTTTTCCACAGAAAAACTGTACGTCTATGCTCTTTTTTCAGAAATGTTCAAACGTACTAACTTCAGAACAGAATCAGGCACGGACCGAAAACGTTTGATCTCCGAGTAACAATCCTCTACTTAAGAATATTGATATGAACATAATATGGACTTTCAGGATTATGAATATAATTATGTTGGATTTAGGGTAGGCCTATTTGGACTGTATATTTTGTGTCGCCAGTTGTTTCAACATTTAAAATGTAATTTAATATTAATTTATGCAATTAGTGTATTAACTTAAGTAGCTGGACTTTCAATTAATTGAAGTGGCATAACAGAATAATGATAAAATAATGATGAAAATTGTGATAATATTACTTGTTATTACATTTTATCAAGTCTGATTGTTAGAGAATGTAATGATCTACTGTGAAAATGATGTTGATTTTATTTGTAAATGATATATCTTAAACTATATTATATGAGAATGTAGCATTTTATGATTTTTTTGCAGAAGAATCAGCTGTGGTTTGTCATTCGATTTATAATATCACACAACTTATTTTGTATTTCGGCAGAGGCTGCCTTATGGCAAAATTGATATATAGAAGGCGTTTCGAATTAATGCCAATGCATTCATTCCAACATCACTTATTGGGTTTTAAATAAAATTATATTCAATCTTCATTAATCTTGAACAAATCACTCATTTATTAATGGATAATAATGAAAATTAGTAAATCATATGATAATAAGAGGTTGATCACTTTGTTGTAAATAGTAATGGCATTTTGATACTCACATGTGGTGACGATCAATTACTTAATAATAATTTGATAACTAGAAATCACACCATTATAGGCTTAATTCGTTTGTGTTTAGTATAAAGTTAATGCAGAATCGCCCTGTGCGCGCACCCAAATAAGGATTTAATTTTCTTTGATTTCATTTTAATATTAATGATTGGATTATATCTGAATAAATATTTGATTGAATTTAAACTTATAACAACGTGTGAATGTTTGATCTATATGAATTTTTTTATTACGAGATGTTTTAAAACTTTATTGCCGCCAAAAACGCCTAAAGTCTACGACGCATATTGATGAATATATATATATATATATATAGCTTCTTTCCTATCAAATTTTATTATTTTTTATTACCAAGTCAGCCGCAGGCAGGCTGGGTTCTGTTTTGTTTTTCCTCTACCTTTTCCTCTTTCTCTTCCTCTCCATGCGTCACCTACTGGGAACGATAACATGGTTTAGATAACGTAAGTTCAGAATGGGTGGATGCCAACCGCCGACTGTTAAGCGTTGACTCGAACTCATGTACGAAATTTTCCCGTTGTAAGAGGGCGCTGCGCCTTTGTTCACTAGCTTCTTTACGCCTGTCAACAGTGCTGTGCATTTTTCCGGATTGAACGGGACACTTGTGATGCGGGGAGCCAGCGTTGGAGGCGCTGTATCCGACCTCAGCAAAGGTCATCGTGACGACGAAAATGTGTTGTTTTTAGAAAATAATACACATTCAAGACCTCAAGTGCATGTGAAAACAATATAAAAGCATAAATGCAAAAAATGATAATTACATTTGCTATAAGATAGTATAATACATATCCAAGTATCGAAATGCACGCCATCGTGTCGGGATTCAATATTTCGACATTAATTATGTCATCATCAAGAATAAAAAAAAATATCCATATATGCACCAAAAGTGTTTTTGACCAATCAAAACATTACCTCTAGTAGGTGACATAGCTGAATAAACTAAAGATCAAAGCATTCTACTCTTATTCAAAGCTACCTACAAAAACAAAGAAAGCTCATTTGAAGCTTTCAGCCCATTGTTAAACAATAAGTGTAGCCTACGTATAGCAAACAGTTCTTTAAACAATTAGTATAGACCAATTTTGCGAACTGTCAATAATGTTAGTATTAGAAAATATTAAACCTAATTTATTACTTATACATTACAGGCTACATTATCATTTTCAAGTTTACCTTGTAAACCTAAAACATATTGGAATGCCTCAAAAGAATTGTATATGATCATTTAAAACACTATCAGATCGTGAAGAAGGTTCTTTCTAGTTATTAAGAATGGAGATAAGGAGCCTACAATCTATCACATCGATGACCTTCTACACCAACCCAGGGAACAAAGGACCCCGCGGAAAAGACTTCAAATACCAACAGAGGGTGCACGTCATCGGATGACATCGGCCGATGACGAAATTATCTGAGATTAGGTCATTTACCTGATGAAGATACTATTTTAAAACTGTAGTATTTAAACAAGTTTAACTAGAAATTGCAAATTGCAAGTGAAGTGCTGCGAATTACAACTGCATATAAATGTTCTTCGAACAAAATTATTTATGCGAGTCAAGTGGAAATAATGAATAATAAAATTATAACAAATAATATGAGACACGACCATTGTCTATATTAGAACACTTCTCATTTGGTAACAAAGTCGTAATTTTTAATTTTTGTCAAAAAGTGTCTATAGTGGTGAATTGTGGTTTAGGTAAGTTTTTTTAAATAAAGTTTTAAAAATGTCTGTGTATGTGGAAAATGTAGTTGATTACCAAAGGTTACAATTTTTATTTTGAAGACTGCATGGTCTAGGAAGTGTACATTTTTTTATGGGGCATGTTTCCAAGGGTGGGTTTTCTATGAGCGAGTTGACTGCCAAAAGAGTGTTGCCAAAGTGCGAGCCAGCGTGTTATTTGATCACAAGTGCGAGACATCACAAGTGTGAGCCAGCGAGCCATGACGTCACGACAATAGATACGAGACGTTAACTCTGCGTTAACGAGTTGTGCGAGATCGGCTGAGATTTGTGGAGTACAATTCAAAAAACAACTATAGGTCTAATAATGAATTATTGTGATGTTAAATAGACAATGTTAGCTATCAAGGAGCGACGTTGTTTTTCATTGGGACCGTCGTCCCTTCAAGGCCTATACCATCCTACCTAGTCTAGGCCTAGAGTAGAATAAGGCTAGCGCGACATGCGGACGTTGGTACGTGTAGGTTAGTCTACAAACGTCGCCTAAAGTAATTGATTTTACCCGGCAGAACGAAAGAAGGAAAGCTTTTCAGTCGTCTTAGGCCCTTGTTTTTTGACAAACAATGACCTTTCAGAGGTCAAATTGCTGTCAAGAATATAAATTGGCTGCTTCGCAGCAAATATTAAAAAGCATATTGTTGATAAAGCATTTATTTAAATACTGAAAAGCTTATTGTAAATAAAGCATATATTTTAAAAATGAAAAGAATATTGTAGATAAAGCATTATTTTATTTAAAGATACTGAGAAGAACGATATGCATAACCATATTTAAACAGATTTAATTTCTATTTGGCATGTTGTTCTTCATTTAGCCACTTTTTTGAAACAGTTTTAATTATTGAGAAAATATTAAAAAGTTTTAAATATTTTTTTGTTGAAAGAGATTTAAATACTGTGAAGGTTATTATGGATAACACTTTTTTTTAAAACATATTTAAATACTGTGAAGCATGCATATTGTGGTTAACAGTAAAAAAGATCGACTACTAACATGTCTATTAGTGTATATTATTATGTTGTTTTGTAGCATTGTAAACAACATTTTTGAAACCGTCCATTCTTATAAGTTACCAAATCATAAATTTCTACCAACCTTTAATACTAAAGCTAAAAATCAGTACACCTTTTTATGTACTTAAATATCTATTAGTATTTACATGAATTGCATACTCGCAGCATTTTACTTTCTATTAGAAACTGCTAGAACGGTAGTATTTCAGCGAACTGGTCACAGCGGTGGAACCGTTTAGCGATTTCCCCCCCCCCCCCTACTAAGCATTTACATGAAACTTCAATCGGGCCATCTCGGATTGACTCGAATCGAGTTCGATACGAGGAACAAGAGCAGGCACTGGGTCGTGACAAAGTGCGAGTCATGCGAAGCCAATGCGTGAGCCATACATTTTAAATCCTTTTTATTCCACCGGGGAGCTTTGCCTGTGTAGTCCAGTCATGCGCAGTACATACACTTTTTCGAATCGTCGTTCCGGAAGTATGCAGCGCTGATAGAGATGTTGTTAAAATACAGATATACAGATACATACATGCAGATATACTTATATATATATATATATACTGTATTTATTTATATATCTATTTATATATATATTATTTTATATATACTGTATATATTTATATATCTATTGATATATTTTAATATTTATTTGTATATTTATATATATATATATATTTATTTGTATATTCATTCATATATATATAGGTATATATTTATTATATATTTATTTATATATTTATTTATATATTTATTTTTATATACTTATTTGTGTATATATATTTATATATTTATATATATACTGTATTATTGTTTTATATTATATACTGTAATTATTTATATATTTATTCATATA